TGTCAGAGATCAGCCAGCAGCTGGTGGAGCGCAAGAACGAGGCGGTGTCCGAGATCGGCAGCACCTTCGAGGAGCTGGAGATGGCGCTGCGGCAGCGCAAGGGGCTGCTGGTGCGGGACCTGGAAGCCACCTGCGGGGCCAAGCAGAAGGTAAAGCCCCCACAAAACCGCTGTGCCCCCACACCGCCGTGCCCCCGCACCACCATTCTCCGCACCACCATGCCCCCGTGCCCCCACACCACCATGCCCCTGCAATGCCATGCCCCGTGCCGCCGTGCCCCCACACTGCCGTGCCCCCACGCTGCCATGCTCCTGCACTGGCTTCCCTCCCCTGTGCCTGCCCACTGCCCCTGCCCGGCTCTTCCTGAAAAGGGTGAACGTGCCCTGGTCATGCCAACAGAGCCGGCCAGCCCTGCCGCAGGCAGCCGGGGTCTGGGCAGCTGGGCTCCAGGTGCAGTGCCGTGGGGGCCGGCCAGAGCTGTGGCCGGGGTCCGGGTGCCAGCGAGGGGCCCGGCCCGGTGGTGAGGGTGACCTGCCCCGTCCCAGCAGGTGCTGCAGGCGCAGCTGGACGCTCTGCGCCAGGGCCAGGAGAGCATCCTCAGCAGCTGCGCCTTCACCGAGCAGGCGCTGCACCACGGCACCGCCACCGAGGTGCTGCTGGTGAAGAAGCAGATGAGCGAGCGGCTGAGCGAGCTGGCCAGCCAGGAGTTCCCCGAGCACCCCCATGAGAACGCCCAGCTTGACTATGTGGTGGAGACGGAGGGTGTCCGCAAGTCCATCCTCAACCTGGGCGTGCTGATCACCACCAGCGCCACGGCCCACAAGACAGTGGCCACGGGCGAGGGGCTGCGGCACGCCGTGGTGGGGCAGCCCTCCTCGCTCAGCGTCACCACCAAGGACAAGGATGGGGAGCTGGTGCGCAGCGGCAGCGCCAGCCTGCGCTTCCAGGTGACGGCGCCGGACGGTGGCGCGGCCGAGGCGGAGGTGCAGGACAACAAGAATGGCACCTACGAGCTGCTCTACACCCCCCGTGCCGAGGGCGACTTCCTCCTCTCCATCCTGCTCTACGGGCAGCCCATCCGTGGCAGCCCCTTCCGCGTCCGCGCTGTCAAGGCCTCCGACGTGCCCCCCTCTCCTGATGATGTCAAGCGCCGCGTCAAGTCGCCCAGCAGCGGGCACATCCGGCAGAAGGCCGTCCGGCGCCCCTCTAGCATGTACAGCAGCGGCAAGAAGAAGGAGAACCCCATCGAGGACGAGCTCATCTTCCGTGTGGGTGAGCAGCGGGGATGGGGTGGTGGGGGCTCCCTGGGGCGGCGGGGGGTCCTTGGGGCTC